AGGCTGGCATCAGCCCATCTCACAAGCATGTGAGGCCTTGGTCCTCCTGTCACCTTCTTCCCTGTTTATTTAACTGTAAGCAGTCTGCCATGTATACGATATTGAAGTTTGCAGAGTTTCTTTCTATTACAAACCTTTGCTTTCATGTGCCCCCAGCTTTTTGCTAGATCCCAATGGAAGGGGAACCCTGAATGTCACACCCTGCTGAGCTGATGAATTTCCCGTTGTTAAAAAGCACTTTACGCATATTAAATAAACTGCAGCAAAAATGGTGACTGTGGTTGGAAAACATTCTAATAAAATAAGAGTGTTTGGAAGTACTTCAGTACTGAACATATGTAATAACAGGGTACCTAAGCAGCTCATCTCTCTGACGAGAGGAAGAGTCCTTAATGGGCAAAGCCAGATCAACCACACCTGAGTGCATCCACAGAAAGGATATGAGGGGCTTGCCCTGCCCTTAGAGGGGAAGGGTGTGTTGGTAAGAGGGTTCAGCTGTGCTGTTGTCTGAAAGCTCTTCAAAATGCAGGTACTCTTATTTACTTTTAAATCTTTCATGCTTCTGGACTTTGTGAAGAAGGGTGGTGTTTATGTCTAGTTTTGGTTGGTTGGTTGTTTTGGTTTTTTTAATAAGAAATGGAGTATCTTTAGAAGGACATTTTAACTTGTGTAGTATCTAAACTTGGTAAATTGGAGTCACTGTCTATTCCCTCAGGGCCATGTAAAAGGTTTTGTTTTGAGAGAACAGTCTGAAAGTCAAAAAAATACAATGGTGTTCCTTATATCTCTCTTTCCTTTTCTCCTCCTTCCTAGTGATGCATGTGCTGTAGTTATGCTTGGAGTTGCAGAGGTCTTGTAAGGTCTAGGGTATGCACATTGTGCCATATTATCACTTCCCCTCTGAAAAGCAATAGTAAAGGAAATGTTGAGGGAGTTTTTGTTTGTTTCTTTTGCTTTCAACAAACCATGGCAATTTCTTGAGCTGTTCATGCAGGCCTTGCAAACAGGCACCAGTCTGAATAAACATGTTGCTGGCAAAACAAACTGAATGTATAGGCTGCTGGCCGCAAGCCGGAAGTTTTCATTAAGTCCTCGCTTGGCCAAGTCCAAAGGCTGGCCCAGTTGACTTGTGTCATGTTTAGAAAAATCTAGGTCAGCATAAAAGAGGGGCAAAGCAAGACATTGTGATTCTGAGAGAGGTTTTTCATTGCGCCCTTGCAAAACATGAGCTACAGCCCTTAAGGCTTTAGAAATTGTGCTTGGAAACAGATGGGAGACATCTCATTGCCCCTGTTGCTTCTGAGCTGATGCTTTATTTCCTGACCCAGGTTCTCATCAGCAAAGTTTGATTTGAGCAGTGATTTGTCAAACATGCTCATCTGGAGTCCTCACTGTACTTACTTAAGAAGTACATTACACTCATTTCTACATATTCCCATTTATTATGATTTAAAGGTGAAAACTGATTTGGGAAGTTTCTTTGCATTTTCTCCTGCAACAGTTACCAAGCAATCACAGCAAAAAAGCACTGTTGTATGAGATGTGGTTATTTGTTTCTTGTATGAAACTATTTCTTTTGATCAACAATGCAGGTCAAATAATGACTTTTTTTGCCTAGAAAGAATGGGCGCTGTTGTTTTAAATTTTCTTGGCATCTACTTTACCAGCATGAAGTTTTGCACATAGGCTTTCATAGCAAGTTTGATTTTTTTCTTGTTTTCAATTAGAAATGAATAGCTAACCAGTATTTCTCCTCACTACTGCCCACAGCCTAGTTAGCAGAAATATCCACCCTGAAAAACCTTTCTTAATGTCAGCTTAGCTTTCTTTGTGATTTACCACCTTATTTGGTGGTGTTCTTTGATAGTAAAGGCCCTTCTGTAAGACTCGTTTGGTTTTCCTTTTGGTGGGAAGCAGTATTTTGAAACATTTTTTTATAGTGAAGTACTAACATTTGCTAATGTTTTCTTTTGGCAAGCTGAGAGGGTTGGGTGGGATGTGGAAGATGGTTTGACACTCAGCCTTTGAGCTGCTGTGGAAACATAAGGGTATGTTTCTGTTCTCTCTCATTTTGTTATGGAAAGAGGATTTTTATTGCAGTGGAAAGAATTGCTCTATGTGATGAAGAGTAATCCCTTATTGTCGCTATTAGGATAGCCTGGAGAAATGGTTATGCCTGGTGTAACCAGCGCTGTTTCCGAAGAGCCTGTTGCTAGCTGTGAATGAATGTATGTCTCTGGGCTTAGTAAGTTGCTGACCTGGATTCATGCTTCTGCTGGTTCCTTTTTTAACTAATAATTTTGTAAAGTATTATGGTATGTTTATCTTGCTGTGATGTTAGGGACGCTGCACAAATATACAGAAACCGTATCTCAATATTATTTTGAATCCTGTCATTCTGTGGGTTTCTTTCTAGCAAGTGCTGCCTATCCCATGCTTCTTGGATTTTAACTTGGGGGTCTCATGGGCTTCAAGACCAGTAGAAAATGGACATCTGTGCTGCTTGCACCTCTGAGACAGAGGCTGAGAGTAAATACTTTTTTAAGCAACTGGAGAAACTTAACTGCTGCAAAGCAAGGGTAGGGAGGAGAAAATATTTGATGGTAGATGAATACAATGTAGTTGCATTTCTAAAATGCTTGATAAGCAAAGCCCAACAACCCCGAGAGCTGCTGAGATCTGACAAGCTAAAAAAACAAACACCACCCAAAAATACCCAACCAAACAAAACACCCATAAAGGCTTCAAAAAACTCTGCTGATGACTCTAGTCTGACTAAAACTTGTTCTAACTTGGTTATATTTTTTAATTAAGGCAGTTATAAACTGACTGCTTTTCGTAGCTTCCCTGGGCTGCACTGAGGCAGCTTTTGTCATTGCCTCTCTAACAGGAAGCTCTTCTAATTGAGTCTAAGAGTAAGCAGTTAATTTCTCAGAGCTGTGATTTACTTCTAGCCATTCCAGAGCTCAGCCCAGGCAGGGCTGTGAAAGGTGTGATGGTGAGCGTGACAAGTGCTTGGAGTGCAGACTGGGGGTGGGAGGGGAAGCCACTGTAGTTCTGACCTTATCTACAGCTTTACTGATGGAAAGTGAATAGTGGGAAACAAAGACAAAAATGCCTATTGGAAAAAAGTATTTTATCACTTTTCCTAAGTCTTTAATTAGCATTGGTGTTACTGTTACACCTTTTCCTCTGTACAGGAACATGCTGATCCGAAGTTATTCTTGTTATCCATTCCCATTCGTAAGTTAATGCTCATTCAGCGTTCCATTAGAATTCATCTTGAGCCAAGAAGTATTACATCTATACATGTTTTAGTGCAATGGAGATTTTTTTTTTTTGTTTGAGAGAAGTCACATCAATACCTTGCCCTGTTAGAAATACTAGACTTCTGTGGGACTTTGGAAAGCATACAGCCAGCTGATCCTGTGTGTTTCAAGTGTGAATACTGCTATTGGTATAAAGATTATGCCTAGATATTTTGTATAGACATTTTTTTTCCAGAAGAAATTAACAAAAAAAAATTATTTTTTTTTGTTTTTAAAGTCTTTATTCCAGGGTCATAGATTAAGATAAAGGATTAGACAGTAAACCAGCTTGGGCTCTTGACATTCCTATTGGATTTCTAGCAAGTAAACACAAGTTTCTACTTCTCTATAAAATGTAGACAAACCACCATCTTAAACCCTTCAGTTCTTTATAGCTTTAGTACTGACTGAAAAGCAAAAATTTTATGTACCTGTGCTTGAATAAGACTTCATCAGAATTATTACAGTCTGTAGGTACCGCACAAGGCATAAGTTTGTTACTGCCTTGTGGAGCTCTTCCTTAGAGAAAGAAGAAACTTTTCCCTTCTTCCAGAACACTAGCACCACAGGTGGCAAGCTGAAACTTCTCCCCACACCATAGCTAATATTTAAATAGTTATTACTTTAAAAAGTGCTAAAACAAGAGAGGCTAAATTCTTGTTCAAGTATTAAGAGACAGTATGATAAAAGGCTCACTACGCATACAGGAAGTACTCTGAGGGGACCTTAAGATGGTCACTCAACCATAGATTTCAGGACATCAGCATCAGGAAAACAGTGGTGTATGTTTACTCACTACATCTAATTTCATCCACAGATATAAAATATAAAATTTTCAGCTAGGTTTTGGGAATGCCAATTGATTTTTTTTCTTGGATAATAAACTATTTTTTGAACAAGCTGCCCTCAAAGCTACAAGACTATTACTTTGTTATGCTAACACAAAGATTAAAATCTTCATTCAAAAGATGAGGTCATGCTGCATGAAATTTAAGGCACGTGTATTAAACCACACTGAAGTGCATTATGTGTCCAAGCTCATCACTGCACTTCAACCGGAACTGACATTTGGTCTTTTAAATGTGCCTGCAGCAATACAGTAGTATGTCTTTTGCAGAAGAAATTAAGTTGACAAAACAAAGTACAAATACTCTAACAACAACAATAAAAGCCTTTAAGAGGTCCTGTAGAGAAAATATAAGTAAACTTAAACCTATCACAAAACAAGTGCAAGTTGCCTCGTGGCTGTAAATACTCTCCCTGACATAGAAGAAAATTCCTCCACATGAACAGGTAATTTATCAACCACTCCTATCAGTTGTCAGGAACTTTTCTATGATAATCAGATTATACAGTCTATGTCAAAAACTGCAGAGGAGCAGCTTTCGGCTTCTTGCATATTAAATGGGATTAAACTCCAGCAGTGCTGTGATTGAAGGGCTGAATTTTTACTGAACTATCCACAGGGCCCTGTGAATTATAATTGTCTTCTTTAGAGGAGAGTTACTTGGTAAAAGGGCACTGCATCATGTAGCAGGAACGTAATTTAATTACAGTCAATTACAGCATCTAGATAGGTAATGAAGCATATTTTCTGAAAAATGAGGATGAAGAATGCAAGAAGCGACTTCTTTCACTGCTTCTAGTACTGCTTCTTGGCTGCAGGCTTGTAAGACACCAGAAGACCGAAGGAAGCATACCCAAATAAAAGTGTCTGAAGGAACCAATGAAACTGTACTGCTGGGTCAGTGATTCCTTTAGATCTGCAAGATGAATAAAAGCATAAGATGTGTCAAAAAAACCTTACAATTTTGCAGATTACATTATGGTACTCAGTAAGGTTAGGTATCTCTACTCATCCTTTATACATCAGACTCTACAAGAACTTTTGAACCTAGCATCATTAATTTCTATCTACTGAGACTTAATTCCTGAGGTAACTAAACATACCAGTTCTCGTGATTATAGTGGATTTTAAGCTATCTTTCAGAGATTTCATGCATACAGTTTCCTCAATAATATATAAATTGCAATTTCAGTCTATGCTATTTGAAATTACTTATCCTAGAAGTTTATGTACAAAGAAACAAGAAATTAGGGTATCTTAATACACAAGTCTGTATATAACTTTCTGTTGAATACAGTCACTGAAGGTAGACTGCATGCTAGCAGGGCAAAGACGTCTGACAATGTGGTGCAGGACGGAAAAGCATCGTTACCTGAATCTGCGCATAGAAAAATACAGGGATCTGACTTGATTTATTAAACAGAGATTTTCCTATATTGGTTAGTTTTAACTTAGCATTTTATTTTTCTGTATATTACAGAGGATGTAACTTTTTCCTACACCTCATTGTTCAGAAATACTACTGAATTTGTAGAGAAAAGAAGGTGTACATGCATGATAGCAAAACCAACGCATTTCACATGTCCAGTAAACTAGTTATGTGAAGCATAACTCTGCTCCAATTCATTAGCTTACAAAGGAGCTCCCTCTACTGACCTTTGCTAGAACAAAGCTGTTAGTTATTCCATAGCCTGTACGTACATGTACAGTGATTGTGCGGCAAGTGTTGACAAACATTTCTTAAGCCATTTTTCTTTTTAAGAATCACAGCTCAATGTTTCCAAATAGGCGCAGAAACTGGAAAACTAAGGCTTAAGAAATTTACCTGCTTATATGAAGCAAGCCTATCTGAATAGACCATATGCAGAAATACAGGCCAACAGCCAATGACAGTACTACTATTGGTTAATGAATTTCTACCTGCTTCCTCACTAGTTCTTCCTCATGCCTCTTTGTGATGTTCATATGTAGACATCACTTTTACATCAGTAAAAAACACGTGTTTGGTACTCAAAGTACAACTGTTTAGTAATCTACAGATATATGCTTGAGGAGATGATGGCCAGGCAATCAGTTTTATGGGTTTTAACACTACTCTGTAAAACTTCATTACTTAACTTGATTACAATTCACCTATTTGGTACATTCACTGTTAACCAAAGTTCCCTCTTAAAAAATCACCTTAAGCCTATACACCTATCTATCTGCACAATCAGAATTAAAGTTTTAAATTATTTAAAGCTACTTAATTTAAAATTGAAGCTTTTGGTAAAAAATTTATTACCAACTCCCATTCTGAAGGCATAAATTGTTCATCCATATTCTATTATCTTGAGAACCATATTAAATAGCTTTTCATGGAACAAAATCCTTTTTCCTCCAAGAGATGTTACTTGAGAAACCTGTGAACTGAACTAAATGAAGTGGAAAGACACCATTTTTACAATGGCAAACAGACCAGCCAGCTACTTTGTAAAGCATGAAAACCAACTGTGACATTCTTCTGAATATTACAAACAAAACTCAAGTGAATAGAAGGACGGTATGTTTGGACAGGCTACCTTTCCAAATAATTTGTTATCCTAACATAAGACTTAGTTTGCCTTACTTTTATAGTATGATTAGTCAAGGTATTTTATCCCACAAAGCTGCAGACACAAGTAGATCTTAAGTAGTCCCAAACAGAAGTGTCCAATTGTATTCTCACAATATAGATGCAATCAATTCAGCATGTAATTAACCATCTCAAAATTCTGATGAGGTAAGATATGATGAAGTTGTAACACCTTAACGTTATCAGACTATTTCTACACCATCTACTGTTCCCTCTGCTTCCTAAGGCACGACCTTGCCTAGTGAACAATGAGTTCAGAGGCAGGCAGGCAAGCTCTGCCAAACCCTGCTGCTGCCATTTCTGCAAGTTGCCATCCCTGGCTTTCCTGCCACCACATCAGCAGAATCTGCAGTAACCTCCTGCGGAAGACAGCAAACTATCACTGCAGCAAGAATTTTATCAGTATCCTGTGCACTAATAACACTGTTGAGAATCATGAAAATCAGTTTGTAGCTTGTGTCACTTGTATCAGAGATCCTTTTCAGAGAATTTATGTAAGGGTTAGGAGAGGGATCAACTTACTGGCACATCTTAACACCATAGAAGGCTTCTACTACGTGAATCAACCAGGATACCCAGAACCTAATAAAAAGAAAACATGTTTTGATTTGTTGAAAATTAGGAAGAAGGCTGTTGTATCCAAGATAGATTATGCAGACAATGTAAAGCTGGAAGCACAGAAGTGACATCTCATTTTCAGCTAGAACATGAGGTGTGTTTCTTATCTTAATAAAAAACATGCATACTCTTAAAAGGAACTGAGAAAATGAGAGGAACTGTAACTTATGCAATATGCCTCAACCTACCACTTCAATATTCCACTGCATGTTCCTAAAAGTTTTGGCACTTGGATTAAGCCAAAAGGCTGAATGCATAGTGAAAGCTGTACAAGTTAATCTTAGTTAAGCATGCAAATCTATCCTTTTACTTACATGAGTACTTTTAGTGGTCCTAATGAATTACTGAACTTTTTAGAGATTTAGTTCTATGAGAACTACTGTGTATACAGATTCAGAATATATAAATGACTTAACCAAGTTTGGTCTACAAATTTTCACATAGCAGCTTTTAAAAAAAAAGTTACACAGGATATACAGTAAGGATCAATGCAATACCCTGCTAAAGCAAAAATGAAAGCTTATCTTCTAAACGATGCATACTAAAATAAACAAGACTGCTTTGGTGTCTTCCTCTCTTTACAGGAGCTCAGCAAGTGAGAAACTTGGCTACACAGAAATGTTTTCCAGCTCTTTCGTTAATTAAAGTAAAAACTAAGTTTTGTAACAGAGTAAAACTTTTCACTAAGTAGTTTCTTCAGCAGATTATTTCTCATGTGGACAGGATCAGGGTAAGTTAGTAGCAGGGCAGAAAATGTTCTATAAGTGAAGCTGGAAAAAAAAAAAAGACTCCTAAAGAAAGAGTTAGACTACTTGAGTAACAATTTCAAAAAAGCGCCACTTTTAGGAGGTGTCGTTATGAGTTTACATACAGACTAATAACTGTCTTCAAAAGCAGTACCTTTTTCCCTTTGTAACACAGATGTTAAACGCTAAGTTGAATTTTTAAAACTTTCATACTGGTCTTAGCCTGTCTAGTCTGCTGTGTCTACCCCACACCCTTAGTTGTAATGAGCTTGAAGGGAGAGCTCTTTAAATCTAATTAACAAGTGGGTTATAGGAAAGCTTGTTAACAGCAAGTAGAAGAATCAGAGAGATGCAACAGGAGAGAAGTAGAGTAATCATACAATCAAATATTACTTACCCATAGCATACCCATTTGTGGTGGTTTTCCACTAAATAATTAAGGAAGGTACCAAATACTCCCAAATAACTGTAAGGTATAGTTGAAGGAAAATGCGACACCCACTTCAAAAAAAAAAAAAAAAAAAAAAAGGAAGTTAGCTTACTTCAAGGCAGAATTACTATCAACTTAACTTTCAAATTAGCTTTCTTCTTTTGTGCAGGCCCCACCCCGTGTCTGTCAAACATGGCTTTGGATTCATCTATTCATAGTATAACTCCTTCATTCCATTAACCTTGCCCATGACCCATATTCTTCACCAACAGGACTACTAGCCTTCTAAAGCACATTTAATTAAGAAGATTCAAACTATGAAATCTCTTTTTCCTGACATAGAAGATGCCAAGGTGAAAAGTTGAACGTTGCTATTTGTGTACCAAGAGTGCATCTGCACATTAAGTGGCATTTAAGTTAAGCTCATTACCTATTACACACAGAAGCGGCAAAAAATACATTGTCTCTGTCCTAAGGAAGTTAATCTGAGGAAACTAACCTGAAGAATTCAAACAGTGGCTAGCCTAAGAGAGAGGAATAACTATCTATAGCTGGGGGATCAAGTCTTCTTTTGCCCCTTAAAAAAAAAAGGACAGAGTTTTGAAAAGGGCACAGAAGATAATTAAGCACAAAGCTCAAGGCTTAAGATGTATGCAGTGTTTAGGCATCTTGCCTGTCACCGACTTGTGTGCAGTGCTTATCACTGTCTACCTTTAACAAGCTGTGGAAGAGAAGCAGGGAGCCAGTGAGCTGCATACTTCAGAGTCCATTGGGATGTAAGGTAAACACTACGCTAGGTCACAGTTCACACTGGCTTAGGTTTCCCCTGGTATCAACTCTGCAGTTTCTAACTATATGTAAATTTCGCTATGCCAAGGATGTGGCAAGATGATGGATTTAAGCAGGGAATCTGCCTAAAGCTCACTCAGTTTCCTGGAACGGTCCAAAAGCTGTTTTGTGAGCTGTGTGGCCTGATCTGACCGTCATTTTTTCAGTGGCGGTCCTTAGGTTTAGAAAATCAATGCAAATAGAACAAAAACTACAGCATGTGGAAGTCATAACAAACTTGTCTGCTATATCAAAACTGTCATTATTCTCCGCACTGCAGTAATTTGACCTATTTTAGCTTAAGTCTATTTTTAGAAATTAAGCAAACATGGTGACTGAACTAGTCTGACTTCCAACAACACTACGGGTTAATACAGTCTGTAACTAAAGCCATCACTTGTGAATGCGCCTTGTTTATTAGTATCATAGAATGGCTGAGGTTGGAAGGGACCTCAAAGATCATCTAGTTCCAACGCCCTTGCCATGGGCAGGGACACCTTCCACTAGAGCAGGTTGCTCCAAGCCCCGTCCAACCTGGCCTTGGACACTGCCAGGTTGTGGGCAACCTGTGCCACTGTCTCAACACCCTCGTGATAAAGAAGTTCCTAATGTCTCATCTAAATCTCCCCTGTGAGTTTAAAGCCATTCCCCCTTGTCATGTCATTACAGGTCCTTGTAAAAAGTCCTTCTCCAGACTTCTTGTAGGCTCTTCTACATACTGGAAAGCTGCTATAAACCATAGCTGTTCCAGAATTTTATTGGTGCACAATGTGGTTTCAATTTTGTGAATGCTGAAGTCGCTTTCACAGGCTACCTGCAATACAGAGCCTCACAAGTTGTGTGGCACTGTAGTTGCTGTCATCACACCCACGATGCTGTACACCTTCAGTGCTACAGCCTTCCTCCACCTCGGAACTCAGGTAGCTTATTTTTTCCTCTGAAATTCTTTTATGGATTTGTTCAGCTGCCTCAGAAGCTGACCTGGCCAAAACAGCAGTTCTAGTTTCCGTTTAATCCCGGTTTATTTTATCAAGCGGCGTTTCCGCGGACGCCGGGACTATTAAGGAAACCTGTTCCACAATCCCTGCAGCTTCGAGCTGCCTGCGAGCCCCGCTGAGGGCGGCTGCGGTA